ATAGGATCAAAATGGACCTTCCTTCTGCTCGGCTCCAGCTGGGAAACGCCACTCAGCCTCACTGACAGTGATTGTAAAAAGGCAGATTGCCGGGTTGGAGAGATGGCTCAAAGGTTAAGAGCACTGGCTGCTCTTGCAAAGGACCCGTGTTGGGTTCTGAGCACCCACACAGCAGCTGACAACCATCTGTAACTCCAGGTTCAGGGGGTCCGACGCCCTCTTCTGACCTCTGAGGGCACTGCAGGACACGGGTGCACTTACATGCAGGCAATACACTCATACATATAAAATAAAAATAATTAATAAAATATTGTTTCTAAAAGGTAAATTACGGGCTGCAGAGATGCCCAGCAGTTAAGAACACTGCTTGCTCTTGCAGAAGATCTGGGTTTGAATCCCAGCACCCACACAGCAGCTAACAATTGTCCATAATTCCAGTTCCAGAGGATCCAACAGCCTCTTCTGACCTCTGAGAGCATTGCACTTCACAGGTGCACTTACCTACAAGCAGGCAATACACATATACACATAAAAATAATCAATAAAATATTCTTTTTTAAAAAAAAGGTAAATTATGGGGCTGGAGATGCAGCTCAGTTGGCAGAGTGTTTGCCTAGAATGCACTGCACGAAGCCCTGGGTTCAGTCCCCAGCACTGAATAAACTGGGTAGGGTGCTGCGTGCCGGTAATCTCAGTACTCTGGAGGTAGAGGCAGGAAGATCAGAAATTCAAGGTCATCCTCAGCTATATTGAGTTTGAGGCCAGCCTGGGCTACATGAGACCCTGTCTCAAAAGACACAAAACAACAAGATGTGAGCTTCTCTGGATATGATTAGCAAAGACTAAAAAGTACAATAACATACAGTAAAAAAAAAAAAAAAAAAAAAAAAAAAAAAAAAAAAAAAAAAAAACAAGAAATGGAGCTGGTAAGACAGCTTATCAGGTAAAGGCATGCTGTGCAAGCTGGGCAACCTGAGTACAAGCCCCAGAACCTACATAAAGGTGGAAATAGAGAGCCAACTCCACAAAGTTGTCCTCTGACCCCCACATGTGTACTGTGGCACACATACACACAGTAATAACGAATTGAAAGTTTCTGAAAAGGATGCTAAGAATATAAGGACGCAAGCTCAGCCTTGATGAACCTGTAGAAGGGCACAGCTTTCCTTGAAAAACACCCCTAAGGCCACATTTCAAAATTCTAAAAGCCTCCATCTTGGCATCAATGATCTGGGGGTTTATCATAAGGATAAATCACCAAAGATGTATGCTCAGTAACATGGAAGTACATTTTCCAACTTCATCCCCTCAAAAACAAAAGTCAGGAAAGAGAATCCAAAATTCCACCAAGAGGAGGTCACTCAGCAGGGCTCCAAAGAAAACTCACGCAGCTGTAAAGAGAACACTGTAGACTCTATCTGCAGAAGACATCATAAAGTGGGAAAGGCCCACAGCACACACTGATGATATATGCATACATACATACACATACACATGCACAATTACAGTATGAATTAAGTTATACAGATTGCCTTCATTACTTCTACTGTTACTCTGATAAAAATACCCCGACAAAAGCAACTTAAGAATGGAAGGTTTATCCTGGCTTGCAGTCAATGGCACAGTCCATCATGGTGGGGAAGTCAAGGGTGCAGGAGCCCGAAGCAGCTGGTTACAGCTGGTCACAGTGCATCCAGTCAGGAAACAGAGATGGATGTATAATCATGCTCAGTTAGCTAGCTAGTTCTCCTCCCTCCTCTCTCTCTCTCTCTCTCTCTCTCTCTCTCTCTCTCTCTCTCTAAGACAGGGTCTTATTATGCGGCCCTGGCTCTCCTCAAACTCCCTTTGTACACCAGGCTGGCCTTGAACTCATAGAGACCTGCCTGCCTCTGCCCCGAGTGCTGAGATGAAAGATGTGTGCTATCACACCCCGGGCAGATTCCTCTTTTTTTTCTTTTTTTTTTTTTTTTTTTGCCATATAAGACCCAGAGAATGGTGTCCCCTCTTTTAGGGTGGGTCCTCCCACCTCAGTTAATCTAATCTAGATAATTCTTCACTGGCATAGCCATGATCCCTAGAAGATGTGCCTGGGGACTTATCTCTTATGTGGTTCCAGATCCTGTGTGGTTGACAGTCAATGTGAACCAGCACATATATGTTTTACATATCATGAATACATATTTATGAAGCATAATATGGGTCAGGATGCACACTGAACTGTTCTCAACAACTGTCCTTGTGGGTTGGAGGTGGGACAGGTAGAGTTTGCATCTATTTTTTTTTTTTCATGGTAAAGACTGTAGCAGTTAGTTCAAGTTTATAAATACTGATCTCCAGAGCTGGGCCAGAGCTGGGCGTGGTGGTTCACGTCTTTAGTTCCAGCACTCAGAAGGCAGAGGCAGGTGGATCTCTGTGAGTTCAAGGCCAGACTGGTCTACACAGTGAGCTCCAGGCCAGCTGAGGCTACAGGGAGGCCCTGTCTCAAAAAGTCAAAAAAAATTATTGATCTCCAAGGAGGAACCCAGTTACTCATCACAGGAAGCTGAATGAAACTGAGCCAAGAGATGCTGGGATGGCCGAAGTCAATCCTGTGTCTAGGGAAGTGACGACACAGCCAACAGATATGTGGTACACACGGTAGCTCTCAACTGGAGAGCATCAGCTACCTTGCCCTTCAGATGTGCCGGCTTCCCTTATCCTCCTGAAACAGCTTGTGTCTCTGGTGTTTCATTTTCAAAACATCTGCATGAAGCGGTGCTGACTGTCCTCTATACACAATCTGACAAAGCCCAGACAGATGCTGCGGCATCTTGGCTCAGGCACTGTTCACCAACCACAACTGAATGCCACAAACAAAAGTCAACACGTGGCTGGGGCTGGCGATGTGGCTCAGTGGTTAAAGATGCTTGCCACCAAGCCCTGACAACCTGAGTTCCATTTAGTAGAAGGAAAGAACCAACTCCTACAAATTGTCCTCCGACCCCCACATCCGTGTGTGAATGGCACATGTGCTTGTGTGTGCATGGGTATGTTCACCTACGGAGGGCAGAGGTCAGCATCAGATGTCTGCCTCCATTGTTCTCCACCTTATACTTTAGACACAGCGTTTCGCTGAATCTGGAGCTCACTGTTTGGCTAGACTGGCTGGCTGGCAAGTCCCAAAGATCTGCCTGTCTCCCCTCCCCTCAGCACTGGGGTCACAGGCATACACCACTATGCCTGACTTTGACATGAATGCTTGGGATCCGAACTCTGGTCCTCATGTTTGCACGGTAAGTGCTGTACCCACCAAGCCATTTCTGTAGCCCCTTAAGTAGTCTTTTTAATACTTAAAAAATATAATAAAGTTGGGCATGGCAGCACACCTGTGATCCCGGCACTCAAGAAGTCAAGTCAGAAAGATTGAGAATTTGAAACTAGCTTGGGCTGCTATACAGTGAGATTCTGTTTCAAAAATAAATTCTAAAAATAAAATTTAAGACTGTGTTTATATAACCCCAGAGTTTGGAAAACTGTTGTTTTGGAAGCAAGCATGTCACTTTTGTTCATTTTGTTTTGTTCTGGGCAAACAAAGGGGGATGCTATGAAATTTCAGACTCTTCATTCAACCAGTAATCATTGAGCACATTCAATGGGCCAGAGGTCCTTAGAGTGAATTTGGTACTAATAGTCTCAGGATCACAAGGAACCAAGAGATTAAGAGGGGAGGGAGGCTAGAGGAGCAGCCGGGATAAATAAGATAGGGCTGGTAGGAAGGTTAATAGATACATGATTGATTGATCAATTGATGATAGATAGATGATAGATAGATAGATAGATAGATAGATAGATAGATAGATAGATGATAGATAGATGATAGATACATAAATGGAAGACTGATGATATAGATGATACAGAGATGGTAGATAGATACAAAGATATATAGATAGATAGATGATAGATAGATAGATAGATAGATAGATAGATAGATAGATAGATAGATGATAGATAGAGATTATATATAGAGAGAGTGATGCTCCCTCAAAGATGATTGTATCTTAATCACAAGAATTTGTGGATATGTTCTTTTAAAAAGCTGGGGAACTTTGCAGCTGTGATAGTTTGGGCTCTTGAGATGAGGAAGGACCTGGATCATCTGTGTGGGCCCAGGGTAATTACTTGGGTCTTTAGTAGTGACAGATGCAGATGGGAGAGGTAAGGCAGAGGTTATGGAAGGGGAGGTCAGAGTCAGAGAGCTGAAGGCACTCTAAACGGACTTTGCAGGTGGAGAAGGGCTGTGAACCAAGGAATGTGTGGGCCTTTAGTATCCGGAAAAGGCACGGAAGCAGATTCCCTTGAGAGCCTGTCAATGGAGCAAGATCTGGGGACTCCCAATCTGCAGAACTCAAAAGATGGTAACTGTTGTTTCACGTCACTGAACGGCAGCAGCAGAAAGCTAGCAGACTAGACAGACTGAGGATCTGTAGACAGATAAGCTCAGCCTCACCCTGTTGAGTCCATCCTCTCACTGGATGAGACAGAACCCCCAATACCCCCACCAGAGGTGCTCAATGAATGTGCTATGTAATGTTAAAATCTCTGTGAGAACCACTCCTTGTCAGAGCCCAGAGTCACCCCATCTGGGAGCACCAACCACACTTCCCAAATCTGCTTTCTGGGTAAGGACCACATCGTCTCCAGGTCCTCTGACGACAAATGAAGAGGGCAGCAAGTCTTCCCTGTTGCAGAGTATTTCCAGCTACAACATCTGGGGTGGGTGGCTGGGCAGGATCTGTCAGAGTCTTAACGTTCTATTACACCTGCAATCATGCATCTAGGAAAGGACTTTTCCCACACTAGTCCCCAGTACTGCTTAGAATTGTTAAAAAAAAAAAAAAAAAAAAAAAAAACTGGGACCAATCTAAGTGTGCTCGTGCCTCATAGGGCTGTTATGACAGGTGACATCTGCCCCTGGCACACAGCAGGTCCCATCCTCCCTCCCTCACCCTTCACACCTGTACCTGCAGCCCAGGTGGGCCCATCGTCCCTGCTGCCTGGTGATGCGAGCTCGTGGGATCCGGGGACAAGGGAAGGCCAGGGGCGTCAGGACCAACCCCTCCATCCGGGTAGCCGGGAGAAGAGCAGGCTCCGCCATGGACTGGGACTAAATGAATCACAATGAGGGCCCTAGGAAGGTGGCAGGGCCTGTGGCACACCCATTCCCAGACACCCCCACACTGGGGCCCAAGTCCTGCCTCCTCCTCAGCCAGAGCCTCCTGACTCAGCCAGGGCCACCTATGGGCAGGTATGTGTGAACACATAACTTTCCCAAAGTGAAATGCTTTAAGAAACAGATACGAGCTGAGCATGTTGGTACATACTTCTGTTCCCAGAACTTAGAAGGTTAGAAGCAGGAGGATCATGAGTTCAAGGTCAACCTCAGCTATATACCGAGATCCTGCTTCATAAAGCAACCAACCAACCAAACACACACGAACCAGACGTGAAACATTCTTCTGGTATGACCACTCATCCCCTACAGCTAGAATCTCAAAATAAAACCAAACGAATGAATAGTTCCCCAAATAGTGGCTAGTGGGGGCCCAAGGCTTCACCCTGGCTTGGCCCCTCCCCCTGAGCTGCTGGGAGCTTTGACTTCCTTCTTTGTGAAATGGGAGTGGTGACGGTTTCCAAGATGCAGGACACAAGCAGGCAGGCAGGGCCAAGGATAGGCAGAGGGCAGGCCTTGCTGAACTGTGGAAAGTGACTAGGGAGCACACTCAGGAGTGGCAAAGGGCGGAGGGATCAGAAGCCGCCTGGGGATTGGCAGTTGGGTGGGAAGATGAAGAAGCAGAACTTGTTGGGAAAGGCTGAGGAGAAGCTGGAGGCCTTAACTCCATGGCGTCCTGCTGGGGCCATCTGCTGGAGGGCTTCCTGGAGGGCTTCCTAGTCGAGACAGTTTCTCAATCAAGATGGGGGTGAAGGTTGAAGGGTAGTGGGTAAGGATAGGAGGGGTTTTCTGCAGGGGATGCAGATGTGGACCCCAGAGGTACTCAAGGAATATTCCTCTCAGCTTTTGTGGAGTGTGTCCTAACCCTATAACTGCCGTGGATCTCGAGTCCCTCCTCCCGGACCAGGACAAAATACCATGGCCTCTTGGCACTGAGATCTGGCTCTCTCTGCCCTCTGTAAAGCTCTGAATGTCAATGACCTCCTCAAAAGCATATTTGCCTGTAAGAAGGGAGGCCCCAGGCACTCCTTAATCAGAGGCCCCAAGTGCATAAAGAGCAAGAAGCAGAGTCCGAGAAATCGGAATTATGGCCACTTAGGGGCCAGAGTGCTGGGACTATGCTTGATCTTCAATCAAAAGATGAAAAATGCCCCATGAGACAAAGGCCCTCAGGAACCCAGTTTTGCAAGTAGTCGTCACTGGCTCATACAGACTGTGCATATGAACAATTATCCACCTTCTCAGCACCTCCTCCTCAGGAGGAGACAAAAGACCATTCCTGGAAACAGAGGAGCTGGGGTCCTACTGCTGTTCAGGCCCCTCCTAGTGTGTAAGCCGTGGAGAATGGTGCAAAGCTATTACACTATGGGGTGCGTGGAGCTTTGTGTGGGGAATACGGGAGGTGCTTAATAAACAATGGATAGATGGATGAATCGATGAACAGAAGAATGAAATGTGGGATGACAAAATGGCTGAGTGAGGGACTGGAAAGATGGCTCAGCAGTTAAGAGCACTGGCTACTCTTCTGGTGGACTAGAGTTCAGTACCCAGCACCCACACCAGTGGCTCACAACCACTTTTAACTCCAGTTCTAGGGATCTGACACCCTTTTCTGGCCTTTTTAGGCACCCACATACACCTGGTACACATACATATACCCAGGCACAAACACATACATATAAAATAAAAATAATTTTAAAAAATTTGGGCTCTTTTTGAGACTGGGTCTCCCTGTAGCCCCAGCTAGCCTAGAAGTCACTATGTAGACCATGCTGGCGTTGAACTCACAGAGAGCCACCTGCCTCTGCCTCCCAACTACTGGAAAAATAGCAAATTAAAAAAAAAATGTTTTAAGAAGAAAATAGGTCTGGGTGCATGGTGGTGCATGCCTTTTACTCCCGGTACTCAGGAGGTGGAGGCAGGCGGATCTCTGAGTTTGAGGTCAGCCTGGTCTACATGTCTACACAGCGAGTTCCAGGCCAGTTAGAACATGGTGAGACCCTGTCTCAAAAGAAAATAAAGGCTGAGAGGAGGGATAATTTGCAAAAATTGGTTAGACAATTGAGATGGATGGTTGACAGACAAGCTGGAGGGTGGACAGGTAGAAGAGTGGGTGACTGGGTATGGGAAGGGGAGGGAGCAGACTGGAGGGATGCATGAGGGCGCCTCTTTGGTGGACAGCTGAGCGAATGCACACATTAATGCTCAAGGGAGTGAACTGGTGCCTGAGAAAACCTCACACCATGTGTGTGCAATGCTTACAGAAGCCAGAACTTCAAACCCAGCCGCCAAGACCCCCAGAAGAAGGAGAACAATCAGCTTGGATCCTGAGCAAGCGCTTCGAGCCTCTGACAGGAAGTGCCACCTCCCTGCTTCTGGGAGAGCTGTGTGTCTTCAGAATGAAGCCTGGAGGTGTTGAATGTGCCCCACCCCTGCACCCCTGACAACATTCCTCACCCCCACTGGCCCTGTTGCTGGAGTAGTATCGGCCAGGCCGGTTAGATCACAGTGGTGACTCAGGTTTGTGGGCCCGACACCTGGCAGCTTGCCAGAACCTTCTTGGGTAGCCTGAGATCTTACCAACCCTCTCCCTACTGTGTCCCTCAGACACAGGAGTCTAACCCTTACACAATTTATGTGTCCTAGGACAGTGCTGTGACACCCAGTGTGATTTGGTGGAGTCTTGTCAGCCCAGAGATGATTCTCAGCTTTTCCAGGTACACTGTGCAACCAGGCAAATGCCTTAACCTTTCTGAGTCACAACCTCATGGCTTATTATTTTTTTAATGAATGTTTCACCTGCATGTGTGTGCAGTGCTTACAGGAGCCAGAAGAGGGCGTTGGATCCCTTGGAAGTGGAGTTACAGATGGTTGTTAGCTACCATGTGAGTGAGTGCTGGGGACCAAACCCAGTCCTCTACAAGAGCAGCCAGTGCTCTTTACCGCTGAGCCATCTCTCCAGCCCCCACAACTTCGTCATTTAAACGAAAAGCTCTCTTCTGTCTTGGTGGTAAGGAATCAGAAGAACAAGTCATGGCAAACTGCTGAACTGCCCCTGGCATACAAGGTACAGGGCCCCATGTTTCCAGGGACATGACGCTGGTTTTTTGGTGGAAATGTATGGGGCACTTGCAAAATGCCAGCCAAGTACTGTGCTCAGAGCCCTGCATGGGTTGAACTGTGTCCCTCCACACAGATACTAAAGTTCTAACTCCCAGGATCTCAGAAAGAGACCTTATGTGGATATAGGGTGCTGGCACTTGTCCTACACAACCAGGGTCCATACATAGAGGGCAAATCTGGCCCCGGTCCCACCTGCAGGAAGGGAAAACAGCATGCAGACACCAGAAAGACTCTATATGATAAAGACAAGGCAGAGAGTGACACCGCCACCACAAGCTGAGGATGTTGGGGAGCCCCGGGAGGGCTCTCCTGCACAGGCTTCAGTGAGCTAGGTGTGCAGGGCCCTCACCTCACACTGCCAGTTTCTGCCACTCTGAGACACTGCCTGCTACTGCTCAAGGCTGCTTAGCTTGTGCCCTGTACTACGGTGCTCCAGAGGGAATGTGCCAGCTTTGTAGATGAGTACATAAAGCTCAAAGCCATGCGGAGTGGGAGGAGACCGAGGGGTAGGCAAGGGGGATTCCTGGTCTGGACCCAAGATTCAGAGTGGAAACCAAGGGCAAGATAAGACGGTAGGTGTGACAAGGGGCATGGGGCTGTGTGAGACTAGAGGCTGTCAGGACCCAGCAGCACCTCTGTGCTGTGCTTGCTGGTGGCTGTCCTCCGCACCTGACTGGAGGTGTGACAAGAGGCATGGGGCTATGTCAGAAGTTTAGACTATGAGACCTGCTTCCCACCAGTCTGAGTCATCTCACCTGCCTTTGCCAGGTATTCCCAGGAGAACCTCCAGGAGGGCCTGGCTGCTCCTGCTTTCCCTGAGTCCACCCTAGGCTGCTCCTGACAGTGGTCTCGGTGTGGGCTACAAGCCCAGGTCTGCAGGGATGCTGGGCAGTGGCCAGCACACTCTGCTACAATGGGTTAAGCAGCTGCTGGGACTCCATGGGCCTGGGCTCAGGATGCCAGCAAAGCCAGGGAGTAGCTCCAGCCAGGGTGAGTAGGGGGCTTTACCCCAGAAGTTCCCAGGAAGCCCCAGCACTGGAAAGCCCCATCAAAGCACAAGTGAGACTTTGTGTATGCATGTGCATGTGAGGGTATGAGTGAGAGAATGCATGTAAGAATGTGAGGATGTCCGTGTTTATGTTTGTGCCTGTGTGTTGGGAATGTGTAGAGATGGGGAAAACAGGGTCTTTTTAAAAAAATATTTTATTATTTTATGTATGTGACTGCATTGTCTGCATGTATGTAAGTGTACCTGCAATGCCTACAGAGGTCAGAAGAGGGCATCAGATTCCCCCAGAACTGGAGTAGTGGATGGTTGTTAGCCACCATGGGGGTGCTGGGAATCGAACCTGGGTCCTCTGCAAGAGCAGCCATCTTAACTGCTGAGCCATCTCTCCAGTCCTGAAAACATGTTCTCATACATGACATGCTGGCGTCACTGTTCATAGGGTCATGGGGTGACTTAGCAACTTTTTTTGTCTTTTTTGAAACAAGTTCTCCCTGTAGCCCCAGCTGGCCTGGAACTCACAGAGATCTGCCTACCTCTGCCTCCCAAGTGCTGGGACTAAAGGCATGTGCCACAATGCCCAGCTAACCTTCTGCAAGCCATACTACATGGCTGCCACACACAGAGATTGCTCCTTCCAGAAGTTGAGGAGTTCATTGAATCCCACTGGTCAGAGACAAACCCTATCCAGCTGCATCAGTGGGTCCCAAAGGGCAGTGCCACACTGGACGAAGAGTGAGGACTCCACAGGGATCCACAGGGGCAGTGTGCTCCAGTGTATGCTGTGGGTGGATTGATCTGACAAAAGAGGAGCAGCCGATGGTCACAGATCAGCCAAGTCAAGCTCTGTCTCTCTCCTTGAGACATCTAATATCCTTGTGCTATCTGCTGGGATGTTAGAGGAGGGATAAAGAGAACAAAGTGGTATCAGGAGACACTTGGGAGCACCTGTCCCCCTTCCTATCCTCCCTGTCACTCCATGGTAACCAGTAGAGCTTCAGAACACTTTGGGAATTTTCCAAGGCCCAGAACTTTCAATCTCCCACCACCTGTTCCCAGCCCCAAATCTGGAGAAAATTGACACTAGGTCAGAGCCTGGCTCTGGAGCCATTGGGGCTGGGTTCGAATCCCCACGCCTCCAGTATGACTTGGGCAAGTTACTTGGCTGCTCTGTGCCTCAGTTTCTACCTCTGTAAAACAGAGATAACCAAAGATCCTACCACATAGAATTTCTTAAAGTTAAAAAAAATTTTTTTTATGTGTATGAGTGTTTTGTTTACATGTGTGGAAGTGCACCCGTGTGCAATGGTCCATGGAGGCCAGAAGAAGTGGGGTAGAAGATCCCCTGGAACTAGAGCTATAGACAGTTGTTAGCCTCCATGTGGGTGCTGGATACCAAACCTGGGGCCTCTGCAAAAGCAGCCAGTGCTCTTAATTGCTGAGCCATCTTTCTAGCCACAACAGAATTTTTATTAGCAATCCCATGTATGACACATATATGAAAACATGCCCATTAAATGTGAGTGGCTCCTATTATAAGGAAGCCTGTGGTAGGCACACCGTAGACATTCACACTACAGTCTAAGGAGAGAGTTTGCAGTCTGACACGGAAAATTCATAGTGCTTCTTTGAACAGAGAGGGATGAGGGTGGGGCACTCAACAGAAGGCCAGGGTAAATGAAAGGACGCCAGCAGGTCTGTCAGGGCTATCCTGGGCACAGGAGCCCCCCCCCCCCGCCGTTTCTTTAATAGGTAACCAGCACCTCCTTTGAGTTGAAATGGCCAGTCACTCCCACAGGCTGCTCTTATCTGCCCCCTGCAGGGCTCCAGGCTATTTGTGTTGGTGAAGAAGCAGCTGTTTCAGCTGGAGGTTTTGTGGCTCTGTTTGGGGACTCCTAGAGAGGCTTCTAGATCACCGGCACCAGCATCCTCTTCCCTCCTTAGTGGGTCTCTCCATCTGCTTCAGATGTTATGGTGGCCCAGATAATACCTAGGTAAGCAAGCCAGGAACGAGTGGGTGGTTGGGCCCAGGGATGAAGTCAGAATGAAAAGTAAGAGACACAGGTTGATGATAGGGTAGGAAGGGCTCTCTATAGATGGACAGAGCCCTTTCATTGAACCCAAACACCTGGTTTTCTTGCTCCATTCGTTGAACACAGACAAGTCAGGTTATATAAGGCATAGAGTCTGTTAAAAATGAATATGTGACTGGGTATGATGGCACAGGCCTCTAATTCCAACACTGGAAGTCAGAGACAAACCAATATTTGTGAGTTTAAGGCCATCCTGGACTGCATAGTAAGTTCCAGGCCAGCCAGGGTTACCTAATGAGACCCTGTCTTTAACAGTTCTATATTAACTATCTGTCTAGTTTCTTGTCCTCAAACTAAGAATTTTGGACAGGAAATGTTTTGATGGTAGAGTGCTTGCCTCGCATGCTTGAGGCTCTGGGTTAAACTCTAGTACTTCTTAAAAAAAACATTAAAGACTGAAAGCACAGACGGTGGAACCAAGCACAGGGCCCCGCTGTGTGACTGCCACAGTCACGAAGATGGCCTTGTGCACGAACCTCTGAGTGTGTGCTTAGGTGAGAATTTTTCTTGGGAAAGAGCCTCCACTGTTGAAGCTGTGACCCAGAAAGATTAACCAAGAATCTGTAACTGAGGCTCAGTGAGGGCTCTCACTGCTTCTCAGTCCTGCCTCCTCCCTCCACACAGACTAGAGAACATGGTGCTTAGCCACACTTCACAGTTAAGGTGGCTCTGCAGACCATGGGCACAGTGGAGGAGGGGTGGAATCACCAGCTGTGGCTGGCAGTGGAGAGCACTGGAGGCTGAGTCCTGGAGGCTGAGCCCTGGGGCAGCCACCTGCTGTTGGTGGGGAGGAAGGAAGCATCACAGGGGACAAAGTCCTTGGGCTTTGCTTCATCAGGTGGCATTGGGGGTGGAGAATCCCACTCTAGACATGGAAAGCTCAAGCAGGCAGATGACCAAGTTCAGAGGAAGATTAGAGCAACACACATATATGTATCTGGACTCACAGGCTGGAGAGGGAAGTTTCACAGGAATGGGTACAAGGGCTCTCTCTGTTCCTTTGGGTGAATTCTTTTTTTTTCTTAATATTTTATTTTTTATTTTTATTTTAGGTGTATGAGTGTATTGCTTGTATGTAGGTAAGTGCACCCGTGTTGTGCAGTGCCAGTGGAGGACAGAAGAGGCTGTCGGATCCCCTGGAACTGGAGTTATGGACAGTTGTTAGCTGCCACGTGGGTGTTGGGATTCGAACCCAGGTCTTCTGCAAGAACAACCAGTGTTCTTAACTGCTGAGCCATCTCTCCAGCCCCCTGGGTGAATTCTTTAACCATCTGACACCCTGCATTCCCATCTGCATATGGAGGTAAGAATAATACCATCGTGGCGTTCACAGTGAGTGTGGAAAGGACACACTCAGCACATCCCATCAGTCCATGACAATGACTACTAATGTGGGCTTCTATCAATGTGTGTAGAGCCCTCCACATCATGTGTCAGCAGATGCCTCCAAGTTGAAGGTGTCAAATGCCAGGGCTAAGGAAAGCAGGGCGCAGAGGGGGTGACAGGAGGGGGTATCATGATATCAAATATGGGAGGGTGGGAACTCTTCTGACAAAATGACATTTGAGCAAGACCTTAGAGGCAAGAAAGGGCATCTGACAGCTGAGGGAGGAGGAATCCAGGCAGAGGGAAGAGGCAGTGCAAAAGCCCTGAGGTGAGGTCAAGGAGTAAGGGGGCAGGACTATATAAGGGAATTCCTCATGGTTGGGGTGGCTGGTCCTCCACATGCCAGAGAGGTAGCTCTCTACCAGGGACTCTCCACCAGTTCTTCAGCATGGCCAGGGAGCAGAGTATCATACAGTGAGGCAGCCTGTTCCAATGGGGCAGCTGCTGAGGCTTTGGGCAAGTTCCGGCCACCCCACACTCGCAGCCCCTTCATCCCCCCCAGAAAGTCCTCCTTACCCAGCAGAGCAGGCTCACTAGTGGAGCCTTCATCCTCCTGGCCATGGAGTGTCCCCTCACAGCCAGACCCGACTGGTCCTTTGCTCCAGGGCTCCCAGTTGAAGCATAAATCTGAACCATCTTCCTCTGATTCTGTGGAGACAAGGTGTCAGGGTGGGCACAGCCTACGGCACACCCCATCTCCAAAGGAGTCCCTGCCATGTTTGGTGTCCTGGAGCCTTGTCTGAGGCCAGGAGTTGAGGCAGAACCTAGGGGCCAGCTTTGAAACTTCATAGACTTTAGGGTCTTGGAGACCAGGAGGGACCTAGAAAGGAGGTTGTTCTGTTAGAAAGTAGTCATATCCACCTACTAAAAAGGGAGGGACCCACAAGGTGCACGGATGATGTTCTTCTGTGGTCTGAATGTGCAATGTCCCCCAGGCTCATGTGAACTCTTAGACTCCAGCTGGTGCCGGTGCTTTGGAAGGTTGTGGAACCTGCAGGAGGTGGAGCCTCACTGGAGAAAGCAGAAAACTGGGTATAGGCCTTCCGGTTTATACAGCCAGGATCCAGTCCTGTCTGCTCTCTGCTTCCTGAGGATGTCATGTGATCAGATGTCCTGGGCTTTTGCCACCACTCTTTTCCCACCATAATAGACTGCATCCCTCCTTTTTTTTTTTTTTTTTAAAAAAAAAACACATTAATTTTTATATGTTTGTGTGTCTGTGTGAGTGTATACTACATGTGTGTGGGTGCCCACGGAGGCCAATAAAAGGGTGTTGAATCCACCAGAGCTAAAATACAGACAGTTGTAATCCACCTGACATGGGTGCTGGGAACTGAACTTGGATCCTCCAGAAGAGCAGCAAGTGCCCTTAAATACTGGGCCATCTCCCCAGTTTTAAACCATGAGCCTTCCTTGAGTGACTTCTGTCAGGTATTTTGTCATAGCAACGAAAAGAGTAACTACAGCACCTACTGTATTGGACATCGTCCATGGAGAGACACTGAAGAGACAGACATCTAGTCACTGACCTGCCTACTTACCCACGAGGCCAGTCACCAACCACCACCTGTGATTTCCACTGTGGTTCTGTTTCTTGGTGAAACACATCTGAGTAAAAGAACTCCCGAAAGCGCACAGGTTCATCATGAGAGGCCTGTGTGACGCAGCTGGTACACGTGCTCTGCAGGAGACCTGGTCCAGTCATCTAGCTGTACTTCCGGAAGCTGAGAAGTGATTGCAGTGTACCTGTGTCTAGCTTTCAGTTGCATGCTGTGCATGGTATAATTCAAACAAGTCTTAGAGAACTGTACATAAGGACCTCTCTGCTTAAACAAACATCACTCCCCTCATCCAACTGTTTTTGAAAGTCTACAAGCTGTAAATGTGTGAATGAGTTTTCTGGAAGTCACCATTCTTTACCAGAGATAGGTTATTTTTAATATACACTAAGTGCTGAGTATTTTACATGCATTTTTTCTTTTGTTTTACTTTTATGTGTATGAGTGTATTGCCTGCACGTGTGTAAGTGCATTTGCGTCATACAATGTCTGAGGAGGTCAGAAGAGGGCGTTGGAATCCCCTGGATGGTTAAGAATGATTTAGCTGCCACGTGGATGCTGGGAATTGAAACTAGGTCTTCTGCAAGAGTAGCCAGTGCTCTTAACCACTGAGCCATCTCTCCAGCCCCCTACTTACATTTTCTTAACCCGATTTAATGAAGGTCATTACTACAGGCTGAAGCCATTATTTGAAATGCTTGGGATCAGGTGTTTTAGATTTTGGATTTGTTTTTCGTATTTTGAAATAGTTGCATAGATTTTTACTGATTGGCCATCCATAATCAGAAATAAAAAGTCTGAAATGCTCTCAAATCTATCCATTTGGGGTCTTAGCTATTTGGATTAGGAATGCTCAAGCTAGTATTTTTCATATTTTAGAGACAAGGAAGGCTCAGAGTTGAAATGAGTTGTCCAGGCTCATAGGCAGGGTTAGCCTGGAATCAATCAGCCTCTGGTTCCATAGTCCCATGGAGCATGCTTGAAGTCTGGGGACTCAGAGGCAGCTTTGGACCTTTTGCTCCAAGGCCCACCAGGCAAGGCACCTTGCCTGTGGCCTGTCATGCCCACCTGCCACAGCCCAAATCCTCCTCTTGAGGCTTCACTCTTCCTTCTGAAAGCTCCTTTCAGGTTGTGTGCTCATCAGAGCATCTTCTGGGAGGGCTGTGCAGCTCCATCCTTTCCTGTGGCATGGCCATGGGCCAGCAGTGTCCCCTGGTCAGCCGCCCAGGAGTCAAGCAGCCCGTTATATGATTTTTGCCTCCAGATGGCCTCATGACAGACAGCTCTTTCTGCTCCTTACCAACCCTGGAAAAGATACCCAAGCACACCCTTTTGTGTCCCCCAAGGCATTTGTTATGGGGACATACCACTTTTGGGTCCTTAATCTGCCCTGCTAGGTCAGACAGGAACAGGGAAAGTGACAGGTGTTAGAGCTGCTCTTGTCTGCTTTTCATTTGGGATTCCAGATACTCTGATTCTAATACAGGGACAAAACAGAAAACCATAGGCCCAGAGAAGCAAAGTTGCCACCCACCAACTGTGGTCAGGCCCAGACTCTGGCCTTAGGCCAGATCCCAGAACAGAGGCAGAACACGCAGAAAATCCTGCAAGTTAGAAGACAGTGATGCCCAAAGACTGTCGCCATCTCAGTAGGGTTATCTCCTCTGTAGGGCTCAATTCAAAATGTCAGGTGGAGATAGGTAAGGTGAAGAAGCTGGAGAAGCCACCCCCCCAAAGCCATTACCATACTCCCTCCCACAGTGACAAAACCAGCATCCAGCACTGACTGAGCCTGCAAGCTCCTACTATGTGCCATGTGCACAGACATTCAGGATTCTGCACTGTGGGCTCCTGACATGCCTCCACCCAGTGGGGCCTTTTTCGAGTTCTGAAAGGTGGTGAGGGGGAAGCTATGATTACCTTCACTTTGTGGATGAGGACAGGCTCTGGAAGGACCAGCCTAAAGCTGCACAGCCAGTAGGTGCAGTGCCAGGATTTGAAACTTGCATTCCTAACACTTCATAGGCTGACCTGGGGTAGGTTGCTGCTCCTCCCTGAGCCTCAGTTTCCCCAGCGGTATATATATATAAAGACTCCTTTACAGATTTATTCTGAGAATTGGAGGAGATGGCATGTATCAAGAGGTTAGTATGACCTCTTAATACAGTGTTTGGAAGAGCTTAACTGACTGATAGTGGAGCTCAAGTTCCCTAGATGCCAGAGGGATAGGGTATTTTTTCTTTTGAGACAGGGTCTCATGTATTCCAGGTGGGGCCCCAAACTTGCTACATGGCTGAGGATGACAAACTTCTGATCCTTGTCTTGACTTCCCGAGCACTGAGATTCAGGCACACACTACCATGCCTGGTTTATGTGGTGCTGAACAGTGAACCCAGGGATTCCTAAATGCTAGGCAGGCATTCTACTAGCAGAGCTACATCCCTAGCCAGAGACAGGTTTTGCTTTTTTGTTGTTTTTGTTTTGAAACAGGGTTTCCCTGTGGCCTCAGCCTAGAACTTGCTATGTAGACCAGGCTGGCCTCGATCTCAGAGAGACCCACCTGCCTCTGCCTCCCGAGTGTCAGAGACCACTCTTATAGCCCGTAAACAAGGCTCTCAAGTTCCCACCTGCCAGGCCCTGAGAGGGCTCTGGCCTACCCTGGGAGTATGAGGTGAATAAGCTTAAAATCAACTTTTCCCAGAACTATGCAGCCCTCCTAGGATCTTGCCAGGAAATCTCACATAAGAGTTGGTTGAGGTAAACTATTCATGTTGCCTTAACTTGTGACCAGAGCTGAGAGCAGGTTTAGCACCCTCTTATCCAGTTGGCCCGAGGTCAGGAAGGCCTCTGGGTTAAAGGGTGTTCAGGGAGACAGCACAGCTGGGAACAGAAGTGTCTCTCCTGCTATATCCCAGCCTCTCTGTCCCCAGCCTTACGCTACTCTTGGTGGCATGCTGAGGTCAGACCCATTGTCAACCAGCTTCCATGACCCGTGTCCTAGAGAAGGGCAGCTCTTCTGTAAGCTTTGGTCTGGCCAAAAACCTGGAAATAGTCTGGGGACCTAAGAAGTGCCAAAAGTTGCTACATTCCATTGTGTAAGTTGTCATTGCATGAAAGCTCCCAGGTGAGGGTCTGAGTGAGGTGTGCTCTGCTTGCAGAGCTTTTTGCACTAGAAAGTTTTTTTTTTTTTTTTGGTACCTTAGCCCAGCCTGTGCACTAGTGGTGGCCCTAAGGGAACGCAGACAAGCACACAAGCATACTGCTCCACAGTCAAACTCAGGAGCTCTAGGTTAAGAAACCCTTACTAACAACCCTCTTCTCTTCCAGCTGTCCCATGCTTAAAATGCTGTGTGAACAGCCCCCCCCACCCCCCTGCAGCTGTTTCAGGACATTTTATCCTATTTGGGCCCCTGTCCAGCTCTAAGACTAGGGCCCAGTTTGGGCCCAGCAGCTCACTTGACTAAGTAAGAAGCATAACCAGACGATCAGCAAGAATAGCAGCAAACCCACTGGCAAGCAGAGCCAAAACACCAGGAATGACAGTGTGAGCTCGTTCACCAGTGGCACTAGAGGGTACTTCATGGTGCACCTGTGGCCTCATGGGGCCGCCTGGCTTGGGCCAGCAGGCTACCCCCGGGGACCTGGCAGCTTGGTCAAGCTCTGCTTTCAGCTCAATTGTGACTGAGCAGTGAGTGTGATGTAACAAAGTCACAGTGTCCTCAGGCAGCACCTGCAAGGACCAGGAGACTGAAGAGAGCTGGTGGGAAACGCTGTGGGCTTAGCAAGGCCCAGCCTTCTGGGAAGGACAGCTAAGGCTTCACTCCTGGTCTAGCAGCTACCGGGATCATGTGACCCCTCTGATCCTTTTATAAGGTAGAAATGAATAATTCTAAAAGGTAGAGCAATCGTTGGGACAAAAATCACCCCATATAGGTGTTCACATAGTCAGGTCTGGATAGTGCCAGGAACCTGCCAGGCCCCCAGGGTCCTGCCTTACACTTCCATGCTCATAGGAACTGGAGGCTGTGGAGACTGAGGAAGCTAGGTGCTCACAGGCAAGCAGCTAAATAGCTCTGCCAATAGTTGCTACCCAGGAAAGACAGCTCCAGCACCAGTTGCTCAAAGTCTGGATTTATGTGCAATAAATGGGAGGAGGAGGGTAAAGCACTTACCCCACCAAGCATGAGGACCAGTGTTCAGGTCCCCAGAACTTACATAAAACCAGACGAGTGCGTCAGCCCAACTGGAATCCCAGTACAGGAGGCAAAGATAGAATTCTGAGAACAAGCTGGCAGGCCAGACTAGCTGCAAAGACAAGCTCTGCCTCAAAACAGAGATCGGCTGAGGAGGACACCTGACACCACCCACATGCACCCACATATATGAAAAAAAAAAAAAAAAAAAAGGGACAAAACTTTGTTAAAACCTGGTCTACATAGTGAGTTCCAGGACAGCTGGGGCTACAGGGAGACCCTATCCCCACAAATAAAAAAAAAAAAAAAAAAAAAAAGGGACCAAACTTTGTTAGAACACTGTAGGCTAAATCTATCTGCCACGTCACTGGACTGCCACTTAAAAGCTTATTGGCACACAGTAATCTGGAAGCTCCTGCACTTATTAGCAGTTTCAGGGGGACTTTGATGCCTCCTTATACTCCTGACACATCCAAATGCCATTTTTCTCCCATCTGGCCTGTCACTCATCTTTTCAAGTTTTTAATAACCCGACACCTGTGGCAGAAAGCAGGCTCTAGCCTTCTGAAGGGTTCATTAGCCCCCTGAGCTGGAGGAAGGGGCTGTGACTAGGTTGGAAGTCTGGGGGTGAGGAGACAACCATGAGACTGGCTGGTGCACAATCTTCTCCAAGAGTCCTTGGAGGACCTGCCTCAGGCACAGCCAGTAGGTGGGTGTGGCTGGGAGGTGGATTAAATATGCTAGTTCACTGTGGCTGTGCCTTTGGGGAAGCAGCTGTGACTACACAGCGAGCCTGGAGTGATGGAAGGCAGGCTTGACATGGCGAGCACGGCACCTTGTGACAGGTGAACAGGCAGTCACTCTACTGGGGAGCAGCTACATCAAGTGGGTGGTAGACGGGAAAACAGCAGTCTAGGAAGAAGGGAACCCAGGCCAGGGTAGGGGAAGAAGAGCTGATGCTCTGAGACCATGTTCACAGGGAGACCCAGACTCACTGGGGGCTGAAGCCACAGTTGACTTCTGGGCAAACAGTATTCAAATGTGCACCAAAGAGCAGGGACCCACGCAGGCTATGTGTGATGCAGGTCCAGATGCCAAGGCCAGGGCTGGGATTTCTAGGTGCTGGGTCAGGAAGCTGAGCAGTGGAGGTGGGGAAAACCTGAACAAAATTCTTGGTTATGAAATCTCAGTGGATGAGGCCACTCCACAGTCAGCTTCCCTGGCCACCAGGCCCCACTGGGGGTTCTGTGGCTAGCAGGCAATAGTTGGTATGGGGGCACTGCAAGAAGCAGTGCTAGGTCCCAGGAAGTTTGAAGGCAGCATGAGAGCAGTTTGTGGGGTCTGGGCCGGTTTGGAGGGGTGGCTCTGGGTAGAGGCATCGAGACACCAACATGTTCCCTATGGAACCCTCTGCACCCAATCTGTGCAAAGGGGCAAGGGGTGGCCTGTGTCTTTCACCCTTTGCAACTGCCCAGTTCTGGTACAGTCAGATTCTCTGCAGGCAGAAAACCCCCAGGGTCACCCATCCCCCAACTCCCAGACTCTGTGGATGGGGTCTTTTTTTCCCCCCAATTTATTTTTATTCTTAATTATGTGCATATTTGTATGTCTATGTGTGGGTGTGTGCACATGGGTGCAGGTGCCCATGGAAACCTGATGTCAGATTTGCCAGGAGCTGCAATTACAGGCAGTTTTGAGTGGCCATGTGAGTGCTTGGAATTAACACTGGATACTCTGGAAGGGCAGTACATGCGCTTAACTGCTCAGTAATCTCTCTAGTACATGTGGACAGGATCTTAAAGCTACATGCCCCTGTCAGCATAGGTCATGTGCTTTTCCCTTAAAATTAGCTTAGTTTTAAGCATTTCATAAAACTACAAAACCAGAGTGAAAATCCACAGAGATAAACAGACCCTTCTGGAAAAGTGTGACCTAAGAGTTCCTGCACATCAACAGACCTGTAGCCTGTAACCAAAAGCACACACAAAGTTATTAGATAAGAATCTCCTTAAAATTTAATTGACTAAATGTATTACATTCAATATTCCATGGGCTTCTTGTGGACAAAGGGTAGGCATAAATACGAACAACCTCTGGGCCTCCCTCCCTAGCTGACGCAGATCAAACACGCAGCGAGGGACATGGGTACACTTTCATATTTACATCTCACTTTTACTTTACAATTCAGTGGCAGAAATATTTACAGAAAATACAATAGGAAAAAGATCCTGTCTTGGCAATATACCGAAATTCATACAAATTGTCTATGTTTTCAAGCAAATAATGATGCTGCTTAGTTTTCAGCTACAACTGCCAAGCCCTTCAGAGAATGATACCTTGGTCACGGTGGGAGATGAGGACTTGGAATTTGATTTGCTTCAACAAACAGGTATTGGGCGCCTACTATATGCAAGGCACTGTGGAATCCCAAATGACACCTTTCCCTCACCACTGAAAAGCAGAGCACCTGAAGGGCACGGGTTGATGTGAGAAAACCCTTAGAGTGCACAGCTTTGCCAGCGGTGAGCCCAGTGATGCCACTGTCCCTCCAATCTGTGCCCTCAGGAAGAGAGGCTGTCAAGGAACGCTGGAAACAGACCAGTGGACACCAATGATCACCACGAAAACACACCTGTCTTTTCAGATCTGGCCTCAACAGGCCCTAAATGCTAAGGAACTGTTGCCAACCGTCTTCAAGGATAGTTATCACCATCTAGGCCAGCTCGGCTCAAGGCTGACTCTCTGTGGGGGCAAACTCCACTTTCCAATAGAATAACCTCTAGAAGACTCCCCTCTGTAGAGGTCAGTCTGCATAGGCTGCTGCTTTGGTGGCTTGAGATTGCCCTACTACCTGTGGTCACAGATACTGCCACGGCCAGTCAAAACTGCAGGTATTTCATGTTTACATGTGAATCCAGAGTGAGCTGCCCTAAAATTGAGGAGCTGGAAGAGGAGGGAGGTGTTCATGTACACACACCTGTGTATGGCTAGGGAGGGCTGTCCTACCACGTAATTTTTTTTTCAAAGGGTCAAAGGCTTGGAGAGGGTCTTAGGAGGAAACTCTAGACAAAAGAGGTGATTGCACTCAGGGTTGATGAGGTGATGAGCCCTCTGACCCCAGTGCTCCCAGCCGCAGCAGCAAAGCACCTCTCCAAAGCTTCAGAAGGGAGCAGGAGCGGCCACCAGCCTAGTCTTTGGGTCCTCTTTGAGAGCACCTGGGGCATCCAGTATAGCAACAAAACTGTTTAAGCCACAGTCCAAACTGGTCCCAACTTCTCTCCAAAGATTTTGAACCTGTGCTGGCAAATTTACCAGGTGAACTAAGATTACTGTTAGGTGCTAAATATGTTCCTCTGACATTATTCTATTCAAAGTGACCTTAACACAGGCTGGAGGGTGAACTCAGTGAAGAGGATTCCAGCCCACACCCTGGAAGGCCCAAGGGTTCCTGCCACACTCCTCTGTTGGGCAGAAGGCGCGGCACACAGAGGGAACCAGCGCCTGTTGAGGTATGCACACCCCGGTTCTGTAGGCTAAGCCTGGGACTCCTTCCCTGGGAGACCACTACAAGTCCCAAATCTCAAACTGCATTTGTCATGGTTGTTCTCTTCCAGAGAATTACAAAGAGCTGTCAGAAATTAGAGCCAACAGAAGGGTCAGGAAGCCCACCCCAAGACACACACTCCAGGTATTTTTTGATATCCACTTAAACTATATCCAAACCAGAAGATTTCCTGAAGAATCACACCAGGGAAATCCATCTTTCTTAGTTCTCTGCAGCCTGTGGAATGTTGTAAGTTACACATTTGTTTATAGATTCTGTGTTCACATCAATCACACAGAATAAGAGCCCATCCCTAGGAGTATCAATCTGGAAGTCCCTTGAAAGTCCTTCAGTTTCACTTATTCTTGTTGAGTTAATAAAATATTTGTAGGGCAGAACTCATTTTTACCCCCACACTATCACCTAGAAACAGTTTATTGCCCAGCTCAAAAAGAAATCAAAGATTGAACACTGTTATGCCCTGAATGGAAGTTGGACTCCCGGAAGGAAGAGGACCACAAGGACAGGAAGACAAGGAGGTTGCTGGACCTGAGCTGAAAACAAACACGAAGAAAAGGGGCTGCAAGCATCAGACCAGGGTGCTACACCTATGCTTCTTGCTCAGAGATGGCAGAACACGCACTTCTGGAATGGAGGCACCTGACAGAGCAGCAGGTCCAACACTACCCCAGCTCCCTCAGAAAACCACTAAAACCTAGAAGCAAACAGACCAGTGGAGCCCTGATCTACAAACAACAGAGCCCAGGGGATGTGCCCTGTTCAACTCTGATCACCCCTCTTTGGACTTCAAATGTCACTTATTTTCTAAGAGAAAAGACTAAAGAAGAAAAACATAAAAATAGGTGTAGACTAAGTACTGTAACGGGAACCCTTCTAAAATGGTTTGGGTCTGGCCACCTCCAAAGTTTTGTCCCTGGCAGAAAAGTAGCAGCAAAGTAACAGAAACATTTCTAAAGCCCTGGCAGGGATCTGCTGTGCCTTCAGCTGGCTAAGACCACAAAGCATACCAACAGCAACCACCCAAGGAGGTAGCCTGGCACCTGTCAATTACTGCTCCGCTCTCTACAAGGGAGCTGAGTGAGTAGCAGCTACTTCCTGAACCATGAATTAGAATCCTTCATTAACTACTGCAGTTTCCTGCTTGGTCCTGAAATAAGAAAGGATGGATGAAACCAAATAATTTTCAACCCTGTTGCAAACTTGTATTTCTTGGTATTTAATCAAAGAGCCATAAATGCTTAGCTTATCATCATGTCACCAAATGGGACAGTAATGGAGAAAGGAGGCATCACTGCTGGTCTTACAGCCTCAACCCCACAAACATCACTGGTATGCCCACTGGAGAACAGGGCTGTGCCTCTCTTTTCCAACTGTCTGCTTTGATGAGGCCCTGTGATATCTCCCGGGTGATGAGAGGGACATGTTGCTTAAGCACGGAGAGAAAACAGGAAATATTTTAATGTTCTTATCTGAGCAAACCCCGTTTTCATCCTTCCCTTTTGTCAATGTGATGGGATGACAACTGGATGGACATGTGAGGAGAAAGCCACAGCTTCTTCCCTTCTTCATGTTGTCAAGTCAAGCCTTCAAAAGTCTTGGAAGATTCTGAGACAGATTTTAATTTTGAATACAACCTCCTAAAAAGCGAGGTATAAAACTACCTTCAGCTGCTAATTTGCAAATTTGTTGATACTACCAATGCATGTGTTTAACTGAGATGCATAAAAGTCTTTCTCCTCAAAAGGCTTATATTTAACTAAAATTGTCACTTTTAAAAGAAAGTTTATGGCTAGAATGTTTCTTGTCATTACCAGGAGTATGGTTGTGTCTGGGAGCCCATCCCACTGGAGAGAGGGAGGTCTTCTAGCCAGTGGGTTTCCATGTTTCTTCTATTCTGGTGGTTAAACAGTAAGCTCTGTAGTAATTTGTTTCTATGTTTACAGTGATCACCTATCAAACTGTCTTGCTTTGATATTAGAGTCCACACAGTAGATTGAACTGTCTGGACAAACAGCGCCCTAAGAATTGCAGCTCTTGAGTCCAACCTCCTGGAAAAGTGCAGTATAAAACTCTGGTTCCAGCTGCTTATTCCGGTATTTGTTGACAATGTCGGTGATTTTCTGTTTCCGACGGACATGTGGTGGACTGTAGGAATCACTCTCCAGTCTCTTTCTTCTACAAATGTTTATTACAGTTTGCCTCACCAGAAAGCCTTGAAAACAGAGGTTAGAATAACTGTCAGTAAGCAGTCAGTTATATAAATTGTGTTCAGGGGCCCTGTTCTCTAAACTGTCTCATTGCAGTTATATAGCTTCCCATCCCCAGAGCCAGACAGAGCACCAAGACAAAACTTCTGAAAGACACACCAACACGGAGAACCAGAGCCTGAGTCTGCTCTGACAACTTACTCCTGCTCTAGATTATAAACAGCTGTTTCCCTCTTCTAAACTTGGGAGTTAGTAAAGTTCCATTTGTATTTACTAGATTAAAGAGTTCAAAAGAGATCAAAACACAAACTGCGCCCCTTTTCTTAAAAGGGGAGTAGCGTTTTCTACATGTGAGAACTATTAAGAAATAACAACATTTCTTATTTTACTTATTTTTGGTTTATAAAATGTTGAGAAGACAAGGCACTGGCTAGCCCGTGTTCCAGTAACTAACCTCCCACCCACGCTCATGCAGGGAACCCGATTTCAGCTCAGTGGGTTATACACACAAGATATGAAAAGAGGGTGGAGACTTGTTGGCAGAAGAGTTTCAATGGGAGAAGGGCAGATGAGACAGGGCAAGATGGGGTGAAAAGGACTAAAATTCATTAAATACACATGTGAGACTGTCAAAGAATAAATACATTCATTAAAATTTAAAGAAAAAAGTAAAGAAACCAAGCAGGCCCATAGCACATCTAAAGACCTTACCAAGCGCTCTCCGGCTGACGATCATCCCATCAACAAGAGGGATAACCATGTTAAATTTTCCAGTGGTTCCTTGGATTTTTATCCTGAACAATCCAGTGTTTAAAGGGTGGATGAAGATGACTGGGACTTCTTTTTCAAGAGTTGTAGATCTTAGAAAAGAGAAGTCGTTTTAGGTCAGACACACAAAGAGCTAAGTCCATTTTATGCAGCATAAGACCATACGAAGCAGGGCTGGCACACGCCTTTAGTCCCAGTACTTGGGAGGCAGAGGAAGGTGGATCTCTTGTGAATTCAAGGCCACCCTGGTCTACCTAGCAAGTTTCAGGCTAGCTGGGGCTACAGGGAGACCCTGTCTCAAAAATCCAAAACCAAACCAAAACAAACATACCAAGGGGTCCTGTGTCAGACTTCAGCAAAGGTCTGAGCTGAGCCAGTGTGCTCAGAAACCTCTTCCTGGGAACCTGTACTGCTAGCTCTAACCCCTGGCCCTAAGCACTCATTCCTGGGGTTGGGCTTTCTAAGTTAACAAAAGAGTCTGAAAACCTACTCTTAGAAAACCATTTGGGAGATGGGGTAGAAAGGCCAAACAAATCTATAGTAGAGGGCTAAAACTCAACTGTCAACTACAGGACTTCTGCTTAGCTCCCCTGTTTTAGGACAGAAGCGTGGCCGTTAAAGAGTGTGCGGCAGAACCCACAGTAGAAGCAGGAACAGCTAAACACACTGTGGGAATTACAGATATAAATTATTTTTTTCAGAAGACGGGCTGGGACAAATCTGGAGAACAGCATGCTACGTGAAATAAGCCAGGTATAAAAGCAAAAATTCATGAGCCAGGCATGCTGGTGCATGCCTTTAATCCCACCACTTGGGAGGCAGAGGCAGAGGCAAAGGCAGGCGGATCTCTGTGAGTTCAAGGCCAGCCTCCTGGTCTACATAGTGAGTTCCAGGACAGCTGGGGCTACAGGGAGACCCTGTCTCAAAAAGACCAAAAAAAAAAAAAAAAAAGGAAAAATTCTACGTGAGACCATATATATATATGAAGTCAGAGTAGAATAGGCCTAGAACTCATTATACTGACCAGGTTGGCCTTGAACTCACAGAGATCTACCTGGTTCTGCCTCCCAAGTGCTGGGACTAAAGGCATGCGCCACCATGCCTGGCTCGTTTTTATTTTTTTTATGTGTATGATTGTTTTGCCTGCATGCATGTAAGTACACCACATACGTGCAATGCTCACAGAGGCCAGAAGAGGGTGATGGATCCCTGGAACTGGAGTTACAGATGGTTGTTAGCTGACATGTAGATGCCAGGAATCAAACCTGGGTCCTCTGCAAGAACAGCAAGTGTTCTTAACCGCTGAGCCATCTCTCCAGCCTTTTTATTTTTTAAAGAGGATTTTACTCTCTTACAAATTTTTGTTTTTCCCAGGCATGCCTTTAATCCCAGCACTCTGGAGGCAGAGGCAGGCAGATCTCCATGAGTTCAAGGCCAGCCTGGTCTACAGTGTGAGTTCCAGGACAGCTGGGGCTACAGGAACACCCTGTCTCAAAAAGACCCCCCCAAAATTTGTTTTTATTTATGTTTATGTGTATGTGCCATATGGGTACATGTACCCAGGCATGCATGTGTGCCTATGGAGGCCAAAAGATGGAATTGGAGCCTTTGGAGCTGGAGTAACAGGTGGTTGTGGGCTGCCTGATATGGGTGATGGGAATGGACTTCTGGTCCTCTGGAAGAGCAATAAGCACTCTTAATGGCTGATCCATCTCTCAAGGCCCCTTAAAAAGTTGTATCTGCTCATTTAGTGTCTGTGCCACAAGCATGCACATGGAGGTTGGAGACCAATTTTCAGGAGTTCAGTTCTCTCCTTGTACCATTTGGGTCCCAGGGATTGAACTCAGGTCATCAGGCTTGGTCGTAAGTTCCCTTTCCTGCTGAATCATCTCACCTGCCTTTTCTTTGATTCCTTTTGTTTATTTATTTTTTGGTCTTTTTGAGACAGGAAACTCACTATATAGACCAGGCTGGCCTTGAACTCACAGTGATCCACCTGTCTCTGCCTCCCGAGTGTTGGGGACTGCTTTTATTTTTTTTAAAGATTTATTTATCTTTTTTTTTTCTTTTTTTGTATTTTTGAGGCAGGGTCTCTCTGTAGCCCCAGCTGGCCTGGAACTCACTATGTAGACAAGGCTGGCCTCAAACTTACAGAGATCCACCTGCCTCTGCCTCCCAAGTGCTGGGACTACAGCTGTGCGCCACCACACCCAGCTATTTTATTATCTTTAACTTAAGTGTATTTGTGTCTGTCATGTGTGTACACGTGCCCATGGAGGTCAGAGGAAAGCAATGGCTCTTCTGAAGTTGAAGTTGCATGTAGTTATGAGTCACCTGGTGTGGGTGCTGGGAACGAAACTTGGGTCCTCTAGAAAATGAGCATCTAAGCCACCTCTCCAGCCCCTTCTTTTTCCTCCTCTTTGATTAGTTTTTTTCTTTTTCAAAATTTTAATTTGCTTATTTTTATTTTATGTGTATGAGTGTTATGCCTGCATGTGTGTAAATGCACCTACATTATGCAGTACCCAGAGGTCAGAACAGGGCATTGGATCCCCTGGAACTGGAGTTATGGACAGTTGTTAGCCACCATGTAGGTGCTGGGATCTGAACCCATGTCTTTTGCAAGAACAGCCACTATTCTTAACTGCTGAGCCATCTCTCCAGCCTCCATCATTATAATTCTTTAAAAAAAATTTTTTTACCTGTTTTTTTAAACCTTTTTTTCCTTTGTCTTTTTTGAGACAGGGTCTCCTCGTAGCCCCAGCTGTCCTGGAACTCATATGTAGACCAGGCTGGCCTCGAACTCACAAAGATCCACCTGCCTATGCCTCCCAAGTGCTGGGATTAAAGGCATGCACCACCACGCCCAGCTAAACCTTTTTTTTATTATTTTTATTTTATGTGTATAAGTGTATTGTCTGCATATCTGTAAGTGCCTGTGGAGGACAGAAGAGGTTGTTGGATCCCCTGGAAGTGGAGTTATGGACAGTTGTTAGCTGCCATGAGGGTACTGGGATATGAAACCAGGTCTTCTACAAAAACAATCAGTGCTCTTAACTGCTGAACCATCTCTCCAGCTCCTACCTATTTTTATTTTATATATATGTTTGTGTTGCCTGCATGTATGCAATTCCTGGAGGTCAGAAGAGGGGTTTAGATCCCCTGGAAATGGAATTATAGACAGCTGTTAGCTTCCGCATGGGTGCTGGGAACTGAACCCAAGTCCTCTGTTAAGAGCAGCCAGTGCTCTTAACTGCTGAGCATCTCTCCAGCTCCTTTTTATTTCTTTATTACGTGTGCTCAACAGAAAAAAAAAACCAGACACGCTGGTAAATTTCAAGCAAATAAAAATGAACCTTAGAGAAGTGCTGCTGTTCGCAGTGGTTTCTACACCAGTGCTGATCTCTGCCATCAGATCTGAGAGGGGAAAGTTTTCTGAAAGAAAAAGAAAAAAAACAACATTACAGGTAACAGCTAATTAATTTCCTAACCTGTTTACACAGGCAGGAACGAATACTACAATCTTAATGATTCTCCAGATAAAAACAATTCTCTTCTACAACATATTTAGCTACCAAAGTCCCTCTGAAGCAGAGGGTTTTCAGTCTGTGGCAGTGAGGGCTGGTGAACACTTCCTACAAACTGGGATGGTCAGAATTCTAGGCAGTTTTGTTGCTCTTATGTTGCTTACATAAAAATCTTAAAAAATTACAAATGGCCGAACTTTTAAGAACACATGAATCAAGCCAGGCATGGTGGTACACGCCTTTAATCCCAACACTCGGGAGGCAGAGGCAGGCGGATCACTGTGAGTTCAAGGCCAGTCTGGTCTACATAGTGAGTTCCAGGGAGACCCTGTCTCAAAAAGACCGAAAGAAAAAGAAAAGACCATGTGAATCTACTAAAGAAACTGGACAATTTGTGTACATGGTGAGTGAACTGAATTAAGTACTTTTCCTGTCCAGAGATCCTGGGATCCTGGGATCACTGAAACATTAACTGGGAGACCATCATGAACAGCTAAGAGCTTTGTATCCACTAAGTCTATCAAATACAACTGGGAAATATGTGCCACAAGTATACCCAATTAACAGGCTTCATGACACTGAGTGGAGAGGTTGGGACGCAATCCCAGGCTTCTGAACTCCCAGCCTCTACTCTCGCCCTTTTCAGTCATTTAGCAAGCCACCATCATCTCAATCATCTTATTTATGGAACACCTGTCCGTATACAGTACCTATATCATCATAGCGTTCCACCCAGACGACAGATACTCTCGTCTCAGGTCCAAGGGGAGGAACAGGACGACCCTGAGGCAGCTTCTTCATTCTAGAACTGGGACTGAGCTATGGGAAAAGTAGAGAAGAAAAGAATAAGCTTGATCAAACTACCCAGTCAGATATTTATCAAGATGTCTAGTGAGCTAAGTATCATGTGACAAAAGTCACTTCAGGTAAAAAGTGAAATACATTTGCCAAAAACCTCTTCTTTGGTATCTCGGTTTAGAAGCTTAACCTATAAAGAAGAAATGAAGGTTTAAAATTATCAAAGGATGGGCTGGTAAGCACCATCTTGTCAAAGAAGCTATCTTTTCTCAATGTGCATTTTTGGTACCACTAACCAAAAACCACGTGGCTGTAACTCCATGGGTTTACGGCTGGGTCTTCTACTCCAGTCCACTGATCTATACATCTGCTTTTGTGCCAGTACCATGCTGTTTTTGATATTATGGCTCTGCAACATAATTTGATTGGGTGGATTTTTTTTTTTTTTTTGAGATGGTCTCTCTGTAATCCCAGGTGGCTTAGAAATCACTATGTAGACCAGGCTGGCCTTGGACTCATAGAGATCAGCCCGCCTCTGCCTCCCAAGTGCTGGGATTAAAGGTGTGGGCTCCCACACCAGATGAATTTTAAGATTTTTTTTTTTTTTGGTTCCACAAAGAGTGGTGTTGAAATTTCAATGGAGACTGCAATGAATCTGTAGGTTGCTTTTGGTAAAACAGCCATTCTTCACGATATTAATTATTCCAATCCATGAGAATGGGAGCTCTTGAGGTCTCTTCTGTCTTCTAGTGTCATTTTCAATTTCATTTTAAAGTAATTTTTTAAATGTAGCCCTGGCTGGCTTGGAACTTTATATATAGACCAGGTTGGCCTCCTGCTTCGTTACCTCTGCCTTCCAAATGCTGGAATTAAAGGTGTAGGTCACCACCAAACACAGTCCTTTCTTAAGTGGTTGGTTTTGTTTTTTTGAGACAAGTTCTTATTTTTAAGTTTTTACTGTAGAGGTCTTTCATTTCCTTGATTAGAGTTATTCTAAGGTATTTTACTGAGGAAATTGTGACAAGGATCCTTTCCCTGATCTCTTCTTTGTATGTTTGCTATTGGTACATAAGAAGGCTACTGATTTTATGTGTTAATTTTGTATTCTGCCATTTTGCTCAAAGTGTTTATCAGTTTTTTATTTTTTTATTATTATTTTTTTTAATATTATTTTTATTTTATGTGTATGCATGTATTGCCTGCATGTATGTAAGCGCACCCGTGTCATGCAATGCCCGCAGAGGACCGAAGAGGTTGTCGGATCCCCTGGAACTGGAGTTACAGACAGTTGTTAATGGCCATGTGGGTGCTGGGATTCGAACCCAGGTCTTCTGCAAGAACAAACAGTGTTCTTAACTGCTGAGCCTTCTCTCCAGCCCCAGTGATTATCAGTTTTAAGAGTTTTCTAGATCTCCTATATATAAGATCATTTCACTTGCAACAAGGGTTTGATTTCTTTCTTTCCTATTTGTGCCCTTTTATTTGCTTCTTTGTTCCAGCTAAGACTTCTAGCACTTCACTGAATAAGAGTGGAGAAAGTGGACACTCTGGTCTTGTTCCTGATTTTCATGGAAATGATTCAAAATGTCCCCCACTTAGTATGTTGGCTATAGATTCCACACACATAGCCTTTATTATGTTGAGAATTATTCCTTCTATTGCTAGTTTTTCCAGGGTTTTTATCACAAAGTGATTCAGATTTTGTCAGAAGCCTTTTCTGAATCTACTGAGATGACCACATGATTTCTGTCCTTGAGTCAGTTTATATGATATATTAATTTCCTGTTTTGTGTATGTAGAACCATTTCTAATGATCTTTGATTTGGGTGTGCAGGTATTTTGTCAAGAATGTTTGCTTCTTTGTTCATCAGGGAGATGTCTGTGATCGGTGTATACGTCTTCATCTGGTCTTGGTATCAGAGTAATACTGGTTTCATAAAGACTTTGGAAGTGTTCCTTTCCTGTTTTATAGCTGAGAAGCACTGATGTTAGTTCTTTTTTAAAGCCTCGTAGAATTCAGCAGTAAATCCAACTGGGCCTGGACCTTTGTTAGGAGAGATTTTTTTAATTTTTATTATTTTATTTTATCTGTATCAGTGTATTGCCTGCTTGTGTCTAAGTGCACCTGTGCCATGCAATACCCTCAGAGGATGTTGGATTCCTTTGAAACTGAAGTTACAGATGGTTTTTGGCTGCCATGTGGGTGCTGGGAATCGAACCCAGGTTCTCTGTAAGAGCAGTAAGTGCTCTTAACCACTGAGTCACCTCTCCAACCCAATTATGACAGTTTTTGCTGTGTGTGGTAGTCTAGCTTGGCAAAACCTGAAATATATTATTCCAGGCTCTTGTGGCTTTAAAAAATTCCTGTTGCGAAATCTCTACTTATTCTGATGGGCCTACCTCTATACATGACTTTGTGTTTCTCTCTTGATGCTTTCAATCTATTTTCTTTGTGTGTGTATATGTGCACATTTTATTTGTGTGCATATGGGTGGAGGCCAAGAGGACAGCCTTGGGTGTTGTTCTTCTGCACTATCCACTGAGTGCTAGAGGTGGGGACTCATATTGACCTACAAATCACAAAGTAGGTTAGGCTGGCATGCTAGTTAGCCCCCAAGGGCCGTGTGTCTCTGCTTGTCTCTCCTGTATGGGGTTAACAAGTGCATACCACCACTCCTGGTTTTTTTATCTGGGGTCTGGGGATCACTCAGGTCCTCTTTGCCACTACTTTTGATTCTGACTGAGCTATCTTCCCGGCCCAATACATTTTCTTTATTCTGTAGATTTAGTGATTCAAATATAATACGATGAGGGGAGGTTCTTTGCTAATCTAGTCTGGTGTTAGGTATTAATGGAGGAATAAATATGAAAGGGAGACCAAACTAAAGGGAATATAGAGTACGAAAGTAATCTGTAATCTGGGCCCCTTTTTTTAAAAGACAGGGTCTCAGGCTGGAGAGATGGCTCAGTGGTTAAGAACAATGGCTGTTCTTGCAGAAGACCTGGGTTCGAATCCCAGCATCCATATGGCAGCTAACAACTGTCCGTAACTCCAGTTCCAGGGGATCCGACGGCTTCTTCTGTCTTCTGAGGGCATTACACGACATGGGTGCACTTACCTACATGTAGGCAATACACACATACACATAAAAATAATAAAGTATTAAAAAAAAGATTTAATTAAAAAAAAAAAAAGACAGGGTCTCATGAAGTCCAGGATGACCTCAACCTCACTCAATAGCTAAGGACAACCTTTAACTCCTAATTCTCTTTGCTTCCCCCATACAGACAGGATTGCAGTCATGTGCCACTAATGCCTAGCTCACCCAATTGGCTTTAAGTTTCTTTGCAAGGCTAACAGGACTCTGTGGAGCTCCTTTATCAAACTGGCACTCTGAGTTACACCCCCTGCATGGTATGTAGCAGAGCTATATTTGTGCTAATAACCTAAACACAGCTCTTATGTACAGAGGCAGAATCCCTACTTAAGCTAAAATTTAAAATTAAGGTTGCTTTGTGGCTAGAGATAGGGCTCAGTGGTTAAGAGCACTTTTGGAGGTCTCAGGTTTGGTTCCCAGCACCCACATGATGGCATCTCACAACCATCTGTAAATTAGTTCCTTGAGATTGGACACACTCTTTCTGGCTTCCACGGGCACCAGGCACACAGCAGTATACAGAGATATATGTAGACAAAACATCCATATACGTAAATATAAAAATAAAAACTGCTTTATTAGTGAAATGGCAAAACTGACTCCATTTTGTTCCAGCTGACTTCTGCCTTACCCTATGTTTCTGCCCCCCTGCTCTAACTGCAGCCAGCCAGCCATGAAGGCTGCACCTGTAGTTTCAGGGGGTACATTCTTTCTACAATGTAAGAAATTTCTAACTAGCCTGCTGGCACGTCCAGTCAGCACGCCCTCCCACCCAGCTGTACCTATATCTCTAAGGAGTCCATTGTCTCACAATTCTGAGAAGCTTGTTCCACCTAAACAAAATTTTTTGTAAACTGGAAATCTCTTTATTAACTGGCCTGCTCCTGGTCTGGTGTAACTGTGGTGATCTAATGTAACTATGGTTATTGGCTTTGCTCCTGGCATACCATAATTGTGGTTTTAAGCTTTATAAACCCCATTTTGCCTTTCCTCAGGGTTGAGAGTTCTTTTGGGCCTTAGACTCCTCTCTGACCACCAGCTAATAAAGGATTCTTTTTCTTTTTTTCTTTTTCAGACAGGGTCTTTCTGTAGCTCCAGGTGGCCTGGAACTCGCTATGTAGACCAGGCCTGCCTGTACCTCCCTCATGCCTGGACCTTAAAAAAAATATTTTATTTATTATTTTTATACTATGTATATGAGTATATTGCCTGCATGCATGGCATAGAATGCCCATCGAGGTTGCAAGAGGGTGTTGAATTCCCTGGAACTGGAGTTACAGATGGTTGTTAACTGTCATATGAGTGCTGGGAACCGAACCTGGGTTCAGTAGCCCAATGGCTCTTAACCACTGAGCCATTTCTCCAGCCCCGCAAGGTGGCTTTTAATATGCTGAGATGCAGCCCAAGATTAAGATTGAGAGGGCTCCCCCTCACCTTTTTTTTTTGTCTTTTTGAGACAGTGTCTTCCTATAGCCCCAGTTGACCTGGAACTCTCTAGGTAGACTAGGTTGGCCTTGAACTCACAGAGATTGGCCTGCCTCTGCCTTCCTGAGTGCTGGGACTAAAACAGGCTCCCGTGATTAGGTCAGGCTTCTGTACATCACCTACATTTGATAAACAAGGTAATTTTTTTTTTCCTTGGGTATTTTTGAGACAGGGTCTCCCCTGGACTAGAACTCACTATGTAGACCAGACTGGCCTTGAACTCACTGGCCTTGAACTCACCTGCCTCTGCCACCCCTGCTGGGATTAAAGGCATATGTCACCATGCCTGGCTAAGCATGGTAATTTTAATTACATCCACAAAATCCCTTTGCCATAAAATACAACAAAATTATGGGCTATGCCATTATATTTACAAGTTCTATCATATATAGGGAAGAACATTATACAAAGGCAAATGCCACTTGAGGACATCTTCGAATCTTGGTTAACACATTGGCATTTTTTTTCCTGCAATCTTGCTAAGCTCACTTAATAGTTCTAGTGGAATTAAAAAATGGTTCCTTTGGGCTGGAGAGATGGCTCAGTGGTTAAGAACACTGGTTGTTCTTGCAGGAGACCCGGGTTCGAATCCTAGCACCCACATGGCAGCTAACAACTGTCTGTAACTCCAGTTCCAGGGGATTTTATAG